AGACTTTGGATTTCCATTCATTCATTGTTGCATTTTTCTCCCTGCCCAACCTCCCCCTAGTTTGCTCTTTTTTTTGAAAAGTGAAAGAAATATTCTTTCTGATTAACACTTTCTAAGCTCTCTTTAAATAACATTTTAAAATGAGCCTAATACTCTGGAGAGGGTGAAGCCAGAATGTTCCCTGGAGTCAAGGATTCTGAGGCTTCGTCTGACATACTTTGGGCATGTTGCAAGGAGGGACTGGACCTTGGAGAGGGGCACCAGGTTTGGAGAGTGGAGGGACAGTGCAGGAGAGGAAGACCCTCAATGAGATGGATAGACTCTGTGAGTGGAGTGGTGGGAATGAATGTGTTTGAGACGGCGATGTTGGCACAGGATAGAGCAATGATTAGGGCTTTTGTACATAGGGTCACTATGAGTCGCAAACGACTCGATGGCACATAACAACAACAACAACAACAACAACTCTATTTATATTCATGAAATACTATACTGTTTTGAGATAGAAAGGTTGTTTCCTTTGAAATTTTAACCAGTGCTACAAACCTTTTTCTCTCTTTCTTCCCTCTTTGGTGCCCCATCATTCATACTTGGCATTACAGCATTAGAAGAGAAGTGCAGAAGTGAAATTACAAGGTCAAAGTGGAAGCACCTTTTTGAGGGATGAAATGGGAATATTTTTAAAGCTCCTGCTTTGATTGGCAGCTTACTGTCTAAAAGAAGCCACTTTACAATGCTCTTCCCACCAATATACATGAGGGTGTTCGCAAGTGTTCTTCATGAATTTGAGTCTCATCTTCCTGGACAAGAAACAGGAATTCTTTGGCCTCCTTCATTCTCGTCTGGGTATGAGCAATGATGTCTGAGGGACACATGTCGACCATTGCAGAGACCTAACGAAGTGAAGGGAACATCTTTCCCACAGAGTGTACTTCTAGTAATAGGCAAAAAGCCTGCATTTAGATGAGGATTCAGGAATGAAATGAAAGCCCATCTGGACATCGAGAAGCCTTCTTCCTTGTCTGCTTTCATTTATGGAGAAATGGGCATGAAGACTGACCAGCCTGAGGAGGGTCTCTTCAGTAAGCTGACGTCTCATCACACATCTCTCAGACGAGATTGGTTTTTCTCTGTGTCAGGGAGGGAAGGCGAGGATAGGAAGGACCCTGGACATCACACACTGGAGATTTCAAACATGAAAAGGCCTGAAACATGTCCTGCTGGACTCTCATGGGGAGTGTGGGTGGGACCTGCATGGGTGCCCTTCTTCATAGCATCACTTCCTGGGGGGCTGTGGAGAAACCCGGTCAGGATGAGAGGGGTGTGCTCTAACTCAGTGGCCTCAAATGCTAAAAACACATTGAGTGGCATCAGATGACAGGTTAAACAGGCTGGAAAAGTATGTCCAGGCTTCAGATCCAACCTAGAGCTGACCGCCGGTGGAATGCAGATCTGAGTGGACACTGCCCCATGTGAATGCATGCCCGGGAGCTGGCGGGGAGCGAGCCCCGAGGGGAACAGAATGATCCCTTTCCTTTCCTTACACTGATAGAAATGTCCTTAGAACAAATCCTTTCCCCCCCATATTTTCTTTCATCGTCTTTTTTTTTTTTTTTTAAATTCTGGATGCCATAGTTTATTTGGGAGATACAGGAAACACTTAAGAAAGTATGGAGGTAAAACAAGGAATAGGAGTGGGGCAAGGAAAGACGGGCCATCAAATGGATTAGCACTGTAGGAGACTGGAGTGTAAACCTGGCGAGAAACAGTTCCAAATACCTGCTTCAGAATGACTGGACCTCAGGGACAGAGAAGGAGGGGCAATCACACATCCAGTTTTTGAGACTCCGTGGGGAGCACTTTTAACAGATGTGAATTTTTCTCCTCTCAAATTCATGGTAAGTAACTGTTTAGATTATCTGACCACGTTATGTTCTCCACACCAGCCAGGAAGGCGAAGTCACATATTGAATTACCTCTTATTTTAGCATGACCAATGTTTGATTCTCCTTTATTACAATCATTTCATTGATTTAAAGCTTATTTGTATAGGTCAACTGCCTAATTTATAAATTTCATTCCAGGATGGTAAAACTCAAAATTGCCATCATGTCAATTTTGACTCAACATTACCTCAGACTTAATATGCCAATTCTGCCTTATTATTACCTTTTACAGAGGAGAACTGTCCCCTTAAAAGTCCTCTTAATCAAAAGCATAAACCCTGAATTCCCAAAAGATAAACCAGAGAGTCAAAGTATGAATGAATAATACCAAACATTTGCATTGGGAGGTCTCAAAGGGTAGGAGAATGATTAGCTTACTAGACAGATTTGAAAATTAAGAGAGCACATGTTCCCTTTGAAGTGACAGTTAGTTGCCCTTCCAATCTGTAACCTTCAAATTGTTAACATTTTCTTTAAGAAAAATAGGGGGAAACCCTCCACTTGCTGCCCCCCCTGTGGGATTACCGAGTTTAACTAATCCCATCACCAACGCTCAGGCCCATTGATGTCACACCAAATCCTGACCATTCTGAGGTCAACCTCAACTACAGGGTTGAGTTTTGTCTGCACCAGGCTGCCTCTGACACTCATTTCACTCCTGCTGCTCAAGTCAAGATGCGGAAGTCAGACTAGATTGAGCAAAGCAAATGTGTTTATTTAGGAGGGTCAATTCACATAGAAGACTTGGGGGTTCCTGGCCGAGTGAAGGACAATCTGAGCACCAGGAGAGAGATTTTGCAGCCCTCTGTTCTGCAGAAAAGACCAGGACAGCTTCCAAGGTGAGACCTTCATTTTCTGAGATACAGCCACAGTGGGGAGGAGGGTCGCTGGATATCAAGTGAAGACAAGCATGGTGCTGCTGGAGAATCCACTGGGAGAAAGAGTTGGACGGCTCCCACGCAGGGCAGCACAAAAGTCTTAAAAATAAAAAGCTGGTGATGACTAGTGGCAGAGGAGAGACTTGTTGGCATAATCTTTTAAGTGATGCACTACTAACTGAAAGGTGAGTAGTTTAAATCCACCAGCTGCTTCAGGGACTGTCTCCTCCAAAGAGATTTACTGCCCTGGAAACACAATGGAGGGCCGCCAGGAGCTGCAGTTCATGGCAATGGGTTTATCTGGTGGTTTAGTAATACTGTGCTGAAAAATCCTTGTAGCACAGCAGTTAAAGTGTTCAGGTGCTAACCAAAAGGTCAGAGGTTCTGACCCACAGCCACTTTGCCCCAGAAAGATGTAGAAGTCGGCTTCCCTCAAAGGACAATCTCCCCAGTTCTGGTTCTAATGCTGCATAGATTCTTTTTTTTTAAAGAGGGACAGACGGTCTGATTTGGATAATTTTGCATATTTCTCAGAAGGCACAGGCTAGAGTAGGGGTCCAGAGATGGACGATTAGACGATGGACGATTAGACGATGGACGATTAGACATGAGGGGCCTTCGGGAGTCTGTGGTTGATATTCTGGCCAATGGTATTTGCCTTGGGCAAATCCACTTTCCGCCCCTCTATTTGGTGGAAGTCTGGATCTCCAGGTTATTGTCCACATCATCTCCCTGGACTTGGAAGGAAGACAATTCGTTCAGGCGCCCCAGGGCCTGAAGAACAGCTAATCTCAGGGAAATTCAAATAGCTCTGAGCTTTCTGGAAAACTGTTGCACGCGGCCCTGGGAGGGGGAGGGGGGGCGAGGAGGGGCAGTGCAGCCTGGGGCTTTCCTGCGGCCGCCAGAGAAGGCCTGTTGCGTCGGGACCCGCCATCCTTTCTCCTCTCTCTTCCATGTCCTCCGAGAGCCGGGGCAGCTATACTGCGCCCGAGCCCGAGTGGACGGACTGGGACGGGGCCCAGCTGCAGGCGCGGCTCCGGAACACCGAGCTGTCCTCTCCGGAGAGCGAAGAGGCTGAGCTGACCCTGCGCGCAGGGCGCCTGACGCCCCCGCAGGCCCCGCGCCAAGCCCGGGTGCGGAATGAGCGGTCCAGCAGGAGGTAGATGACGGGGTTGGCGCAGCTGTTGACGAAGGCCAGGCAGGTGGCGATGGTGAGGCCCCAGCGCAGCGCCAGCACCAGGGAGCAGGGCAGTGGCAGCACCCGCAGGCGCGCCAGGTGGAAGACGGCCCGCAGGACGCAGAAGGGCAGCCAGGAGCCCACGAACGTGCTCTCGATGGCGAAGATGATGCGCAGCGAGTTCCTCCGCGCCCGGCCCAGGTGCGGCGGCCTGCGCAGGCGGCGCGAGATGCGGCAGTAACAGAAGAGGGTGATGGCCAGGGGCAGCACGAAGGTCAGCAGCAGCAGGAACAGGCTGAGGCCCTGGAAGGCGTCGGAGGGCTCCTCCCCGCACTGGCTGCCCGGCTCTCCGGGGAGCGGCTGCAGCCCGCGGTAGGCCAGGGCGGGGAGGCCCGCCAGCAGCGCCACGGCCCAGACGCCGCAGCAGGCGGCCAGCGCGCAGCGCCGGGTGCGCAGTGAGCGCGCGTCGAGTAGCTTCACCACCGCCAGGTAGCGGTCCACGCTCATGCCCGCCAGCAGCAGCGCGCCTGCGCAGCGCGAGCCGGCCAGCACGAAGCTGCTGAGCTTGCAGAGGCCCGCACCGAAGGGCCAGCGGCCGCCCAGCGCTGCCGCCACGGCCCACAGCGGCAGCGTGAGCACGAAGCACAGGTCGGCGGCCGCCAGGTGCAGCACGAAGGTGTCCACCAGCCGCCGCGGGCCGCGCCGCTCCACCAGCAGCCACACCACGAAGGCATTGCCCACCAGGCCCACGGCAAAGGCGGCCAGGTAGAGCGTGGGGATGTAGGCGTGGCCGTAGGGCAGGTCCCACGACGGGCACAGCTCCAGCTCGTCCAGGGCGCCCGACCCCGAGTAGTCCCCAGACCCTGCCCATGGGCTAAGGCTCCAGGGCTGGGTGGGATGCATGGCCTGATCGCTGTCAGAGGACCTCGATGTAGGCAGCAGCTCCTCTGAGGAGCAAGGGGTTTGCTCTTCACGGCCGGTGCCCAGCACCTCCCTTCCTGCCACCCCAGACCAGAGCAAATAGGGGGGCAGGAAGGTAGGGGGCAGGAAGGAGGGGGTAGGCGGGGCAGACCTGATGGGTGTAGAGACACTTGGCCTGCTATTTGGGCCTGGCCTAAGCGGAAAGGCAGGCACAGGGCAGACGTGGCTTTTCCTGCAAGTAAGAGCCCCCAGGGTCCGGAGTCCAGTTATTGGGAACACGGTTTCTTTGCGTACACAGTGAAAGTACTTGGCCTACTTTGGCAGGGGTCTGATGGCCTCTGTACACAGTGGTGGGTGCTCCAAAGGCGTCATCTACTCTCAGGCCTTCCCGACCCTCTGCTGTGCTCTCTAGATTTAGAGCTGAGGAAAAGGATTTTAAAAGTGGGAGCTCCCTTCTCTCCAGGAAATGGGGGGGGGGGGGTGCTCGCTATCTGGTGATTATGGCGATGGAGTGAGCTTTCATGCCATTGCTAGTCTTTTGAGCTCCTGGACTGTCCTGATTCCATGAACAGCTTTTCTGACCAAATCAGGGGAACCATGGAGAAGTGCTTTTAAGGCAAAGAGACCAGATTATACAACTGGGAAAAGCTAGCACCTGGGATTACGTTCACTGCTCTTCCCAGCCCTTCTCCCAGCCAGCCTGTTAAATCAAACACAACATGGAAAATGAAATACTGAAAGGCTCAGTACAAACTAGGATGCAAGATGGTACCTGGTTGAGCAGTGTATCAAAGCCGTCAGGAGTTTAAGCCAGGAAAGGGGCAATTTGCTGGGGACCGAGGGAGTGAATCTAGAGGAACTCCTGGAGAAAGGCAGCAATGAAGCTGGCCTGGCAGAGGACAGGCTGCCTCCTGTGGAGGAGAGGATGGTGGAAGCTGAAGGTTAAATGAAGGTGCAGTAGAGATACTGGGAGAGTCCAGCTACATCTGTTCTTCACAGGCATCCCTCCAGTGAGATGCTGTGTCAGGATTGAAGTGAAGTTACAGGTGTGTACTGTCCTGAGTCTATGGAGTAGTAACTAAGAATGAATGACAGGATCTTGGGCAACTTGGTGCTGAAAATTTGAGGACAATGATGTTTTATCTGATTCAGCAAGCTTTTGCATGTGGCAAGGCAGACACTCTTTTGGGTATTGCAAGAGGTACAATTACTATTACTTGAACATTTTATTGTGGCTTGGGTGAGAGTTTGCAGAGCAAATTAGTTTCCCGTTCAACAATGTATACAGCTTTTGTTTTGTGGCATTAGATATCACCTTGTCAATGTAACAGCCTCCCCAATGCCTCCCTGGGCTCCTGTTGCCATCTGCCCATCTTTTCTGCCCCTTCCTGCCTTCTGAAGTTTGTTTGCAAATGGTTAGTTTCGCATGGTTGACTATTCTGAGAAATGGACTCTGTCAGTGTCATTGTTCCCTTTATGAATCTGTCTTGTTTGGCTGAAGCAGTGAGTTGAGTTTTGGGTTTGAAGGTGTCTAAGCCATAGTCCTGAGCATTTCTCTAGGCTCTATCAGACTGGTAAATCTGATTTACTAATGTACACATTTTATGATTTTCAGTTTCTTTCTACATTATTTTTCCCTCCAACTCTGTCCGGGACCTTCTAATGTGGTCCCAATCCCAACCACCAGTAGTGATAGCTGGGCACCATCTAAGTCTTCTGATCTTAAGCTATTGGAGGTTGTGGTTCGTGTGATATGTTAGTTCTTTTGGGATAGTGGTCTCCTTAAGTCTTTGATTCCCACCCTTCTATGCTTTGTATGGAATAAAATTGATAGTTGTATTTTAGATGGCTACTTGCGAGCCTTTAAGGAAGGGTGCAGTTTTTGACCTTAAAGAGGGTTTACTGTTAGCCAGGAGAAAGCAGAGAAGTACATAGGCTGTATTAGTAGCCAAAATTCCAGAAATCAAATGGTAATGACCAGTTTAAAAGAACATCATCTTAGAGCTTAGAAAAATGAGTGGTGACTTCTAATAGGAGGAGTGAATTAGAAAAAGCTTTCTAGGAGATGGCTTGAGGTAATTTCCAGGAAAGAGTCAAAGGGCAAATAATAACCACAAAACTCATTGCTGTCGGTTCAGAACCAGTTCAGAGCTGATGCTCTGGTGGGTTTTCAGAGGCCGCAGATTGCCTGAGAGGAGACTGTCCATCTTTCTCCCAGAGAACAGCAAATAAGAACAGCACAAAAGAGGAAGAGTTGGGCCAGAAGGAGGAAGTTAAAGGAACAAGCCTACTGAAACTAGCAAAACCATGAACTTCATGGGACCAGAGCCTAGAATGGGAGGAGGGTGGTGAGAGATGAAGAAAGAAAGGTATTTGGGGCCAGATCCAAAGGGGTTTGGATTTCGTTCTGCAGAGAGTGAGGAACCTCTGGTCACTTTGGAGTAGGAGAACAATCTAAGTCTGTGTTTTGAAAAGATTACTGGTAGAGCTGTGGATTAGAGGAGAGAAGGTTCAAACCAGGGAGAATCCATAGCAGAGCACTTTAAAAAAATTATTTGTGTTGAGAATGGGGAGATGGAACAGAATACTGATTATTGGAACAAAAAGGGAAGGGCTTTACTCTGGAGATGATTGTAACAGCACCGGCCTCGGCCAATCCCCGGGTGCAGAGAGGGTTCAACTTCACCAGCTGTCACTGAGTGGACTCGGTAGCCACTCATGGGGTCAGAGTAGATTTGGCTCCATAAGATTTTCTGTGGCTGATTTTTGCAAAGTAGATAGCCAGGCCTTCCTACTGAGGTCGTTCTGAGTGGATTCAAACCTCCATCTTTTAGGAGCTGAATTTGTTAACTGTTTGTATCACTCAGAGACTCCAAATGAAAGTTAGAGCTGGAGTTTGCTGTTTGCTAACTGTATGGATGCTATCCCATAAACTGAGGTGGGGAGTATGGAGGAGTGTTTGGATGCGTGTGGGGAGAGCATTGATGAGTGAGAAAGATGCAGCAACATCTATATTCAGCTTTTTTTTTTTTTAAAAAAAAGAAAGGTAGGTTTTAAATATTTTCATTTTTGCCTATTTGGTTACAAACAAGGTTTGCTATCTATCTTTCTATATCACTATCTCTTATCTCTATATATCTCTTCTATCGATTTGGTTTTGTGTACTGCCATGTCAGAACCAGTTGATAGCTGACCCTCCAAAAGGTTTTCTGAAGCAATAATCACACGAGAGGAGACTGTCTATCCTTTTCCCACAGAATAGCTTGTGGAATCTAACTATTTTTGCATTGGCAGTATAGTTCGTTACCACCTAGCCCACCAGAGCTCCCTTTAACAGACTGATTTGAGATAGGGTAAGGAAATAATTTACTCCTGGGGCCTTTGGAGAGGCCACTGCCAACAGAATTTCCCAATGCTGAAGATGTCTAGCCATGGGAAAGTCTGCTGTCAGGGGCCTCTCCAAAGTCCTGAAGAGCAGTATCAGTCTAAAGACGAAGTTGCTCCTGATTCAAGCCACAGTCTTTCTAATTTACCTGTTATGCATCTGAGAACTGGACAATGAATGAAGATGACAAAAGAATCACTGCCTAGGGATCTCTGCTGGCCTACTGGCGAAGAAGCTGCATTGCAATTCTGAAGGCATATGGTTCAAATCCACTAGACACTGCTGAAGAAGGAGGGACAATCTCCTCCTGTATGTGAAAATAAATGAAATAATAAAAAAAAATATCGACGCCTTTGAGTTGTGATGCTGGAGAAGAGTGTTGAATATCTCATGGCCAAAAGAACAAATAGATGTGTCTTGGAGAAAGTGAAACCAGAGTGCTCCTTGGCGGCGAGGATGGTGGAGCTTCCTCTCACATACTTTGGACATGCTGCTAGGAGGGGTTATTCCTTGGAGAGGGACATCATGCTTGGAAAGGTGGAGGGTTAGTGAAAGAGAGGAAGACTTAACGAGGATAGACAGAGTGACTACAGCAGTGGACTCCAGCATTTCAGAGATGATGAGGATGGCACAGCATAGGGCAGGGTTCAGATCTGTTGTTCATAGGCTCATATGAGTCATATTTGACTCGATGGCACTTAACAGCAACGAAATGAAAGCGGTACTGTCATAGTAACCTGTCCATCAGCCGTAGACCAGGACTGTTTTGGGCAGATGGAGACACAAGGTCACCCTCGAGCTCCAGGTCCCTCTGGTCCATGCACATCCCCAGCAGGGAGCTGGAAAGTGGTTCTGAAGGTCAAGGAGTAGTGCATGCCCATATCAAGGCTGTTCCGGCCAAGGATCTTCTCCTGGGTCACTTACAAGACAAGGAAAGGCAGGCGAGAGAAGAGGCCAGGAGTGAATGGTTTTTGGATAAGTCTCTGAATGAGCATCTCAGCCTCTGGGCATCTGGGGTTGGCTTCAGCCTCAGAGATAGGAACCTGCTACAGGAGACAGTACTGGTCACGTGGTTGCTGGTGATCTCTGCCCACATCCTGAGGGCCTCAGGGGCTCCTTTCCTTCAGGGCATCAGGGGCAGTGCCTGCTTGACAGAGCGAGGAAACAGGGAGGGACAGGCTGAGCGCTGCTGGACTTCACTGGGCACACCTCAGCCTTGAGTCCAGATGGCATGACTGATCCTGAAAGCTAGAGATGCAAACCAAAGACACCACTAGGTGGCAAAGAAGGATGAAGCAGGCTGTCTAAGGGGAGGGGATAGGTAGGGGGTTGAGGGGAAGTACAAGTAGGTTGATTATTGAAAAACACAGAGGCCCTTGTTTCCTGGGGCCGTGGTCTTGTACCCGAGGAACGTCTGCAACCCTGGTTTCTGCTGGGTCATGGCCTTGTGGCTTCCACTGAATGTCTGGACAGGAGGAAGCAGCAAAGGCTGGAGCCAGGGAACCTTCCCGGTCTGGGCCTAACCTTCAAGGTGCCCAGCCTGGCTTCAGTGCCCAAGTACCTGGGGCTGCTCTCTTTTCTGCTAGGGACAGTTCCAACAGCAGTAGGCCGAAGTCAGCTAATGGAGCTCGGGTGGTCTAGTGGGTAGTGAGTTAATACAAAA